ATTTCTGTAAACAGGCGCTGGCTAATAAACCTTGCTGATTGAACCTGCATGGTCTCCAGGAGTTCTTTGGGCTAGGCTTGACAATATAGCACTCTGTTCAAACTGATTGGCCTAAAGTCAGATGGATTTAATTTATTCCCTGTTTTATAAATTGAGGTTATAATTGCTAAACCTCAGTCTTTAAGCATAATATGTTGTTGAGACAGGTACCCATCAATCAATATTAACCTTTATTAAATCTGTTGGAATCCTGACACAACTTGGAGCTGTTCCTGCCCTTCATCTGGCCAGCTAAGTATTTAACCTCTGAAGTAGTTACTTGGAGCCATGATCGGTACCGTTTCTAGGCTTCCTGTGGGTATAGAAATATTGGAAATGGGGGATGAAGTGGCTGCAAGACTAGGCTTCAAAAAACAGCACTCAACCACCCAAGAAACGAAAAGGAATAATCTCTGGGTGGAAAGGTACAGGGGGATTGGCTCTGATAATGCAGTATGTGCTTAAAGCAGAAAGAAACTATTTGTATGGAAGTCTTACAAAGTCAAATGGTGGTTCTTATGGCCTTTGCATAACCTTTAGGTATGGAACGTGCAAACTTTACTGCCGCATTTTTTTTCAAATGCTTATGCTTTGTTCCATAATTCTGCAAAGATTTATCCAGTGCTGAGGTGGTATGCATTCCATAAATCAGGTGAATGTTATCTTTCCTCCCCTCAGAAGACTTTTTCAGGGGACTGAATAATTTATATCTCCTTAGGATTTCATACTTGCCCCATGGAGTCCCTCAATCCTGTTGGCCTAAATAATAATAATAATAATAATAATAATAATAATAATAATAATAATAATAATATAGCCAATAGCCAGCTGTAAATGTGCATTTTTTGCTTACTGTTACTTTAGCTCACAGAGTTGGTAAATTGGGCATTTGGTATGTGGCTCCCTTCTGTTAAATATTTCACACAGACAGGATGGTTCTTCTCTTAGATGTCTCCTCTCTATTCACCGACTCCAGCTTTCATCTTCTGCAGATGCTTCAATACCTATCTTTTCCCCAGATCTTTGTATCCCTTACATTTTCATGGTTCTCTTGTATCCTGACCATTTAGGCTAATTACCCGGCTGTAAATTCCTTTTTCAAAACAAGCTATAAAACTCCTCAGTCACATGTAAACAGCATAATAGTAGCAAGTGGAGATGAAGTAGCAATAAGAAGTGGTAAATGCTTAGGTTTGTTTTCAGATACTGTAAGCAGACATGTACTATAGCAAAAGTCACAATGGCTTGAGCCAAAACACCAAACTAAAAGTCCAGAAGAATAGTTAAAAATAGGCCAAGATTCTACAAGAACACAGTGACCAGTAGTAAAACAAACAACAACCAGAGCAGAAAACTTGTTTCCAACAACTTGTCACAGTAAGAGAGGGTATCAAATACTCCATGCTGAGCCTACTCAGCTGAGAGTCATCAGTTTGGGCTCTCACCTCACAAAGAGGGCAGGAGCCTGGCAACATATCTTCTTAGTAGCAGCAGCTTATCTGCTCTTGTCACAACCTACAGCCTTCTGAGCCAGCCTTGCGTTGCTGGGTTGTGCAACCTTCTGCCCTTATACCCTGAGGCTGTGGTGGTCTAACTTGGCTATAATCAGGATCTGGGTCACTTGGTCCAGGAGATGGAGTCCCTGAGATAGAAAGCTTTAGGAAGGCAGGAATTGGTTCCATAATACCAGGGTAGCTGCAGTTTGGATCTTTGGTGGAGTTTGCTTCCTGCTGGTGTCCAGACATGACTGATAATGTCTCTTCACTCAGAGCATGACAGGCACACCTTTGATGTTTGCCTTCCATGTTTATCACACATTGGTCAATGGAATCTTATTTATATTTGCTCAAGGAACTGAGTGTATGGTGATAAGGATCTCCTTGATCATGTGCACAAGAGTGGAGCAGGGGTTTTCTCCTTCTATAAACTCAGCTCATGTGTTTTATAGTACTCCTTTAACTGAATGCACTAATGACTGTTGGAAGGGCAGAGTTACAGGAAAGAGCCTGTTCTTATTTTATTAAATAAGACTTTCCCAGTAAGATGTGACCTATCCTGTATGGGCTTTGAAGGAGAAAATGGTAAGGGCTCTTACCTCACAAAGAGGGCAGGAGCCTGGCAACATATCTTCTTAGTAGCTGCCCCCACGCTCTGGAATAGGTTGCCTCATGAGATATGGAATATTCCCAACCACCTGGCCTTGCTTCAGCCCTTGTTATTGTTCAGCATGTTTGGGCACTGATGATGGAAAGGCTGCCATTACTTATTGGGGGTGGGGGATGGAGATTTTTTGTATTTTTATGGTAAACCTTAGAAAGTACACAATATATTAAAATCTTGTATAAGTAAATAAATATCTTTGCATAGTTTCATAGTGTTACTTTCCTATTGTTGTTGCAGCTCTTCCATCAAAAACCCAGTCTGAACCTTCTTTGAACTATAGAGGTATGCACTTGGAGAGAAATTTGCCTTTCAGGTTTTGTTTTTGTATGGTTTTGATATTAATATTTTGATTCTTAGGGTTATCACTGGCATAATAGGGCATCCCTAAGTTAAGGGATGAAATAGGTGCATTAAATTTCATCAAAGGTTAATGCAGACTTCTCTTGCTGGCTAGGCAAGAAACTCTAGAATCCCTGGGGTTCTCTGAGCTTGGTTGTTTTCTTGCAAACATACCTGGCTAGGTAACATCTTCAGTGTTAGAATGGAATGGGGTTTGCTTTCTGTTTATATACTGTGGCATGCCCTGCCAGTGTTGGTGGGGGTGGGGGGTTTGTTTTGTTTTATTTTTTTCCATCTGGTAGTTC